TAGTAAGTATGCAAATTCAGCATTTGGCGGAAAAGTTGACGAGGTACGCTACCAGGAGATAGCGACAATATCAATTGAGATCAAAAGCAAAGAAAGAATTCCAATGGAAGAAATAAGTGTTCCAAGAATTGCCGCAACAATACATACGAAGAAATGTTAACACATCAACAGTTTGTAAACAGTTTGCTCACCCAGTCACTTATGGTGATTCACTACTCGTTGGAGCAGGTTATTACTGGTCTTTAGTACAGGATGAAATCATTTGAGGTAACGGACCGAAAGCGGTTAAATCTAAAATCCGCTACTTGCTATCAGGACCGATGAATACAGGTATTAACACTAGACAATGGAACTCAAAAATGATGAATGTTTTAGTTGAGCATAAACCCGAAGAGTGCGATTTACAGAAATTTTGGGAGACTGAGTCGAGTGGATTACGGACGGACTCTGATGAAAATACAAAAAGCTTACAAAACATAATGATTAAGTACCTACACTCTAGCATAACTTTTCAGGAAAGAAAATATTTCGCCAAAAATCCATGGAAACAGACCACCCAACGTTACCACAAATGAATGTGTAGCAAGAAGAAGGACCATGAATGTTATAGCTAGTTTGCCAAAGACACGGAGATGTTACATTTATACTATAAAGTAATCAAAGAACAGGAGATAAAAGACTTCATAGAAAGGTAATCTGTACAGAAATCAATCACTATATACCGCACCAACCCGTGACGAAGGAATCAAACACAACCATTATAAGAATTGTATAGGACTGCAGTCACCGTGGAATTCATCGAGATTGACCTTGCCTATCTGTAGCGCCACCTTTTTTTAATAAAGTAACAAACATTCTAAAAAGATTTAGATAAGGAAAATATGGAATCACAACAAATATAAAAAAGGCAGTTTTACAGTAACACTTGACAATGAAGACCGAGACGCCACAAGATTCTTCTTGTTGTACGACTCAAATGACCCAACAAGTGACTTGACAATTTACAGATATAGATTTGTACTTTTTAAAGCAACGTGTTCTTCGTTCATTTTGAATGCAGCCAGCGACTCCACTCTGCATATTTTTGTTGATGCAAGTCAGAAAGCATATGGAGCTTCTGTTTACTTGTGCAAAAACAGATTGTGCAGTATCAACAATCGTTGCATCGTTGAAAGTAAGAACTTTACCGAAATTATATTTAATGGCTGCAGTGATCGGAGAAAGACTCGCAAAAGATGTATCGAAAACTTAAGAATAAAAAGAGCAGTATTTCGCAGGGATAGTCAAATAGTTCTATATTGGCCTACCTCAATTTACCGTTAACCGAGTTTGTGTAAAAGCGTATGAGTGATATTAAGGATATACCCGAAACTTACTAATGGAATTATGAACCTACAGAAATGAACCCATCTGACCTGCAATCCTGTGGAATTACTGCATCGCAATTTGAGGATTCGACTTTATGGATCATAGACCACATTGGATAACTGACGAGGATAAATGGCCAATGTGTACCGGACATGTGGAAATTAGCACTCAGGTAGCCAATATCATTGGAACAGAAACGAATAGAATTGACGATAAAAACCCAAGTGATCTGCAAGGAAAATCACAGATCATAGATATGTCCAGGTTTTTCTAATTTACATAAACTTTTAACAATGACTGGATATGTCTTAATATTCGTTAATAATGGTAAGAAACAAAAGCGCACACTGGAATGTCTCACCTGCTTTACTGACCATTGACCATTGATTTTATGTTTAAAGTCTCACAGATAAAGGTTTTACTACAAGTATCACATAAACTAAACATTCTTAAAGATCCATGACCATGAGGTCAAGGTCAAATAAATCTGTCAGACAGACATGCACACCTTACAATTATTCCATACACAAAATATAGTTGACCTATTGCTTATGGTAATTGACAAACAGACTCAAACACAAAAACATTGACCAATGAACCATGAACATGAGGTCAAGGTCAGATGATACCTGCCAGACAGACATGTATACCTTACAATTATTCCATACGTCAAATTCAGCTGACCTATTGCTGTTAGATAGTTTCCATTAAAGACACCATACAAATATCATCAAGCCTCCAGTAAACATAATGGACAAGTTCACAAAGAGAGTTAATCACCCCGACTTATATGTAGATTAGGAATTATAAGAGACGTTATCAAAGGAGTTGATGGACTTATTCTTGCAGCAAAAGTACGGATTTCTAGAGGACTAGTTAGTACACGACTAATTGTGAAGTTATAGAACTATGGTTACTGATAAATAAAGGACTGTTAAGAGAATTTTGTGAAGGAAAGTGAACGTTATAGGAAATCATACAAAAACTTTGCATGTGAAATATTTGTAGAAATCCAATTGTTATGAATATTTATCCTTTTAAAATAACTCAATTCATGTTGTATTTTGAGTCCCCCTTATGTCCAGAATATGGGCCAAATGACTTTAGAACGTAATGTAATTTAATCGTTTCCTGGACTTAATTGTAATGTAACGTAACGCTATTGTTCCGAATCTATAAGATCATAAAGCATCTCAACAAGCAAGACGTTATTTTCTCTTCAGAAGTCAATCAAAGTCAATTACCCTCAAGATACCTGGTATCTTTAAAGAGTTTTACAACCACTGGGTCGATGCAACTGTTGGTGGACTTTTCCTCCCCGAGGGTATCATCAGCCCAGTAGTCAGCACTTTTGTGTTGACATGAAATACCATATTCTCATTTTCTGTTAAAGTACTGTTTATAAAAGGTTAAATTACTCGATATACTAAGTTTTTTCTAACACCCAGGCATATAATGGCATATATGTATTTGGCACAACCTTTCGGAATTTTCGGTTTTTTATGTTCTTCTATATTGTATTTTATTTGGCCTTCCAACTGTTTGAATGTAGCGACTCAGATTAGTCTTATGTAGACGAAAAGCGCTGGTTATTTATATAAGGTTTATTTAGTAAATAAAATAATTTGTAAATCGTGATAATAATGAAATAACAAAATAAAATAATTGTTATGAACAAATTAACTGTTTTTACCCAAGAGAGGCCTCTTTTGTAATTTGAGAATTGCTACCAACTTGTTTAAATTGTAAAGGCATAGGTAAATAGATTTGAAGCATGACTGAATCACAAAACTGAAGGTTTCGATCAGAAAGTATTTGAGACAGTCTAACCCAATTTATTTTGTTGATTCGCATGCTTGTAGTATAAAATTTAAACGGCCGTCTCGAAGTAATTAAATAAAAGACATGCGCAATTGGTGTGTCAGTTCTGTAAAACGATAACAACATTATTTACAAATACCTGGACTGAAAACTATTATTGTGTTTAAATTGTCTTAGAAAACTTCCCGTAATGGTCAACGGATCTGACGACCACGTTATCGCAAGTATTTACCATAGTTTAACTTATATGTTTGGATAGATACGCACATTTTATAATAATACAAGATTTCAAAATGGCCCTCTCGAGGCCATTAGAAAGAGGACAGACTCTAGTTCTGTGCCAGTTCTGTGAAAATGATAGCAAGATTACAAACAAATGCCTGGACTGCAAACTATTACTGTGTGCTAAATGTTCTAATAAACTTCACGCAATGGTAAAAGGAGCTGGCGACCACACTATCGTAAATATAAGAAGTTTGGGGCCCCAACATTCTGTAGAATTAAAGGATTTTAGAAGTATTAAATGTAAGCAACATCCAACTCAAACAGCCTGCTTATTCTGTAGCACATGCGAGCAAGCAGCATGTCCGACCTGTGTTACAAAAGTGCACAAGAAACACAACATAGTAGAATTTCAGGTTGTATATCAACTTAAAGTTGAACGACTGCACTGTGGGCAAGGGAAATTAGAAAACGACTACAAGGAATTAGCAAGGAGAGTCAAAAATTTAGATCACATCAAAACAGAGGAAAACTCAAGAATTTCAAGCATACGAGAAAGCATCCGTGACCGCACATTACTTATAAAAAGTGAAGTTGATGAATGCGCATGTAGCCTTATTTCTGAAGTTGATGTAGAGAATACAAAATTTGACAGGATAATTCAAAACGAACACAGTAAAATTGATAACATTAAGACAAATTTGAATGATCAAAGACTAAAGGCACAAGATATGACAGACTCGAGTGATATGGTAGACTTCTTTGCTAAGATAGTTGATGTCACCAAATCGATAGAGGATTGTTTACCGCCAACCTATCCAATTACAAAAGAACTTCAGTTTCTTCCAGGCTTGATGTTTCACACAAATGTTGTAGGCGAACTTCTACACGAGACAGAAAATCTTGAATATAAACCCAAGTTGGAAATTACTAGGAAATATGTTTCCGAATATGATGTTATACAGTTTCTTGCCTCAGGTCCTGATCATTCGTTGTGGTACAGTAAAAATTTAGATCAGAAGGTACTCGAGAATGTAACACTTGGTGAAGAACAACTTAAAATTGTATCAAGGGAAGAAATCATGGTGTATGGCTTAGCATTCGTTCCTGGTTATGGCCTTCTCTTGTCAACAGATGGAGAGACGCTTAAAATAATTCCAGAAAACAGCGACGAAATTCTTGATTCTCGTTTCGCAGTAGATCCACTAGAACCAAAATGCATTCATGCGACAAAGGATAATAAATTAGCTATCGGTGCAATAAGTAAAGGGCCGCTGTATCCAGCATCCGGGCAACGAGTAGTCATACTGATGGACATGGAGGGAAACAAACTTTCTACATGTGAGTTCAACAACAAAGGGGAACGTTTGTTCACACATCCATGGGGAATAGCGAGTACGACCAATGGAAATGTTTTCATTTTGGACAGAACAGATAGTAATTGTGATGGTAGGTTGGTTGTTTTAAACCGAGACGATGGAAGCGTTATAGATATATACAATGGCCGGAAAGGAGAAGATTTCGTTCCAAGAGGAATAGTGGCAACAGAAGCTGACAACATTATCATAACGGACTGTGATGATCCTGAGGTATCGCTTCATATCTTCAACAATTCTGGAAAGCTGATTTCTTACTACAATACTAGGGACATTGGCATAGAAAAACCGTTTTCAATGACTTTTTCAGCCACTGGACATTTTTACATCGGAGGAACAACGATAAGTGATAGTGGCGAAAAAGCTGAACTGTTTGAGATCGATTTCATTGAAACCTAGTTCTGTTGGCATTAAATTCCTTATAAAATGAAAAACAATTATGTTTTGTACATTTAAAAATAAGAAGATGTGGTATAACTTCCAAAGCGACAACTTTCCACCAGAGACGTTAACAACTATAGGTCACCGTACGGCCTTCAACAATGAGCAAATCCCATACCGTTTAGTCAGCTATAAAAGGCCCCGAGATGACAAATGTAAAACAATTTAAACGAGAAAACTAAAGGCCTGATTTATGTAAAAAAAAAAACAACATTCCGCTAACCTGGGACAGTGGTGTAACAGTTTAACATAAGAACAAACTATAAAAATCTGTTGAAAAGGGCTTAACTCATCAGATCGATACAAAACAGAAAATAAGTAACAAAAACACAGATCGAACGTGGCAGGGTATTCATACACCCATACAACAAAAAAGACACTAAGTACAGATCTGAGAGTACTCGCAGTTACTGACAGCTAGTTCAAAGCCAATAACAACTAGTAAAAAATCAGATATCTAAGACTAAAGTATCAAGCAGTACACAACCAACATCCAATGAATTTAGCGTCAAGACGTCATTAACAGACAGAGAAAAACATGACCTTGTATTAAGCCAAAATACAGGTGTTGACAGATTGTAGAACCGTGAATGTGCATATGTATATGTATATGTATATGTATATAACAAAAATATTAGTTTGATTTTAATTTACTGATAGCAAAATTAATATTCATACCAATAAATACAATATTTAAAGATCTAATGACAGTGTTGATTTGGTAACCTTTTAGAATAAGTTTATTTAAAGGATCGATTAGTTGACCTGGATCGTACGAAAGCCGAAAAGGATCATTCATATTTTAAAATTCAAAATTCAAAATTCAAAAATCCTACACTAATCTATCATGTTTCCTTACGCTTACGAAAAGCCAACAAAGATCATACTTTGATATACTACTGAAAGCTATGTTATAAAGTTTGTTAAGAACACGAACCCATTAAAACACGGCAAAGGGTCCGCAAAACTTTCAACGGGATGCATACAACTTTACCATTCGAAACCCTTGGTAAAACAGCGTCCTTGCAAGCAGCAACCCTCTATCAAGAAAATTGGATAGGAAGCCCTATAATATCGTATCGTATCGTATATATATATATATATATATATATATATATATATATATATATATATATATATATATATATTCAATGTGCAGGCGCAGCTGAAATGTCGCTTCACTGAAATGGAAAGTTCACACTGGGAAAATTGAAATCATCGCTTTTTCGTAAAGTTTTAGATGTCAACCAACCCTCGTTTTCACGTTATGAATGTAATGCAGACTTAACTGTACATGTGGTATCGTTATTTTAGGTTCATTGATATGTATTTAAATAACCTAAGTCGACGAACTCTGATTGTTTCATCTATGTCGCGAATTAGATGTAAAGTTAAGATAAATCACAGTTATTTTCATTTTAATTGAGAAGCTCTTGTTTAAAGTATGTATCTTAATAATAAAGGTGCGTCTCTTACTATTTTTAGTTTTGACTTTGGTATAGAAATATGGTCATCCCTTGGTCTTCATCCAAGCGGCAGTAAAACGCTTGTAAACTCGAGGACTTTTTGGTGTGCGGGACGCATAAATTCGCAGTCACGCCCGGTCATACTGGGGACGTTTAATCCGATGTTTCGTGTAGAGAGAATGCCTTGCTCTCTGCAACAACTTTTGAGGTGTCTTGTTGCAAGGGAAAATTTCTGTCCTATCCAATATATCCTTATTTCCAGTGGCATTCAAAATTTCTCGCCCTTCATCTAGGGGGTCAATCGCCTATTACAGGACCTACTCTTTGTTATTTTTCTCTCGTCATGAATATGCATGAAATATTTGCCACTAGAGGTTAAGCAAACAGCAAGCCAATTGATTTGAGAATGCAGATCAGTAGCTAAAAATTAATTAGTTCACAATAAGATGGCTAGTGCGGTGCATCGATATGATATACTAGAATTGTTATAAATATATGATATATAAGAAAAATTGCACAAAAAGCAGCAATAATAAGATGTAATAAAGTTTGTATTTCTCCCTTATGGACACTCGTATGACATACAGTCAAAAACACCTAAGGGGCGAAGATTAAAGGGCTACCACACAATTAAATTTCAAATAAACATGTATATGTAAATGCTCTTTTGTTCCGACGTTGGAAAGTTCCGGGCGGAAAGAACTAACTAGCCGAAAAGTTCCGGAGGAACTTATTAACTAGTTACTTTGTTCTTCCTCTGGTTTAAAAGTTCCACCGGAACAAAGTGACTAGTTGAAAAGTTCCAACGGAACATATCAACTAGTTAGAAAGTTCCTTTTTGCCAAATTAGTCAAAACCGGAACTAACAAACTAGCCCCAAAGTTCCAACGGAACTTATCAACCAGGCAGAAAGTTCCATTTGGAGAATTGATGCAAAGTAAAAGCGCAACATATTATATTTGAACCTTTCAAAGGGAAACCAAGATACTGAATATACCATATTTCGTCCTTTTTGTAGAAAGAGGGGGAAGAATGAGTATCAGTATATAAAAGAGCAAATCATTAATTTACAAGAATACCCAACGCACTGAAAGGGGTTTCTTTGGGGACAAATATGCAAAATTTAAGTTGTATTTCATAGCTCACATAAAACGGAATAAGTTGCATTATCATGCAAATTTAGTATTCATAGTACCCTCAAGAGAGGGAAGAATACCCCCTCCTCATGTGGTTCTTTGCATCAATTCTCCAAATGGAACTTTGTGACTGGTTGATAAGTTCCGTTGGAACTTTTGGGCTAGTTTGTTAGTTCCGGTTTTGACTTATTTGCCAAAGAGGAACTATGTGGCTAGTTGATAAGTTCCTTTTTCCGGAACTTTTCGACTGCACTCGGAATAAAACAACTAGTTGGAAAGTTCCATCGGAACGAAATAACTAGTTGAAAAGTTCCGCCGGAACAAAGTAACTGACGGAACATAGTGGCTGTTACGTATACATATATATGACCAAACTCCGAAACAGTGGTGACATCTGGCTACGAAATATGACCCGAACGATAACGCTGTATGGAGTTTGATATATGACAATAACCTTGTGCGTTTCAAATGACTTGATTATGAATTTTATTTACAATAGTTTACCTTATATAAGATATAAAGGTAATTTTGAACACACGAAAGTTGTAAATCGTTCTCCTGTTTTTAAACAGTCACCCATAATTACTGCAACGCAAGTTTTATCGTATACATGTTAAAGTTGAATGTCGTTTTAATCTTTTAATACGACCGCAGGTAGTATTTGATAGACCTTTTCAACAATTGTGTACATCTACAATTGACAACGACTACGACAGGTAAGATGTAAGTGGTCGTCTCAAAAGTTGTGTTGATTGCATATATTAGTTACCTGTAACTGAATTGAAAAAAAAGTGTTTGCCTATATGTATTTATACCACAACGATATTTTTCTTGTTTTGGTTGTACAGCATTTGTTGATTTAAATTCACTTTTATTTTTAAATTGAGTATGAATGAAAGGGAGGTATTTAATATCCTTTCAATCAAATTAGAAATTATGATTCTAGCTTCCCATGTAACCCCCTCCCCCCAGGGTGACTGGGGAATATAAATATGGTTTCTTAGGTCTTCTTCAAACCGGCAGTAAAACTTTTGCGAAAATGGAGAGTCCGTTTGGCTGTGCGGGATGTATAAGTACGCAGCCACGTCCAGTCAGAATGGGGACGTTAAATCCGATGCCTCGTGTAAAGAGAGTGTAACGCTCTTTGTATATGTTAAGAACCCTTTCAACAACAGGTCGAGGGCTCCGCAAGTGGCCTGTTGCAAGACTAAATTTCTGTCCCTTAGCAATGTACCCTCATTTACCAGTTGCAGTCCAAATTTCCCCGATCTTCACCCTAGACTGTCTCTATTACAGGACCTACGATATTGTAAGTATTGTTAATTTGTTCTCGTCCTGAACAAGCATGAAATATTTGCCAATGGACGTAAAGCAACCAACAATCAATCAATCCTATGTAAAACTGGGAAAATGAGAAAAAAATTGAGTAGAAAAAAATAATGTTTAATTTAACATTTTTTTTACGTCTATTGACAAAGTATATTATTTTTGGCCTCGGGTGCCGCCATAATGTACTTTATACTTCGTAGTTTTTTAATTCACCAATGTTATGTTCTAATCAAATCTGTATCCAGTGACAATTTTTACAGGTCATTTAGATATTTGTCCTATTTCATATTTTGGTTATACTTTTTTAGTTCTAAAAGTACAAAATAGACTTGGACAATATTAAGAAGAAAAAAAAAACGGATAATGGACACGCCACGAATAAAGCATAAAATCACACAATGCAACACATAAAACAGGCATTCAGAATTACCGCGTGATCTTTAATACTGTCGTGGAATCATCAACAAGCAGTAAGATCTGAACGGCTACGACAAAAGGAAAAAGATGAAATATAAGGCCGCAGCATAATATTGTTAACTAAAAATTTTACCGAGAAAAAGGATATACCATTGACCGACATATATCGGGGTTGGGACAGGTGCGTAACATATGCGGCGGGGGTTTTACTTATTTAATTGGACCGAAAACCTTCCCCTATGTTTGGTCAGAGGTAAAATAAAATATACCATAGGGACGCATGGTAAAACTAGATAAGTGTAGAAAACCGAAGCGTAGATAAACACAAAGAAAAGTCAAGAAACATAAACAAATCCGGGGACAAGAAAAAAGGTAAATTTCTCAAAGAAAACAAAGTTATAAGAAAAAACAAAGTTATATGAAAAAACAAAGACCCCGTAAAACTTGGATCAACGCAACGACTCCGACAGGTTAAGGGGTTCTAGCTTCGTGCGAGACACTCGACGTGTAAAGGTCATGTTGGGGAACGGTGAAATGTATCAATAACAAAGGGACAACATCTGATGTCATTCGGGACGAAAACAACTATATATAATAACGATAATAATATTCAATATGTACAATAAGTATTACAGTAGTGAAGGTCTGCTGTGAAACGCAACCTCTACAATGGTCACAAGTATGTTTTGGGCGAGTTACTGACGGACAAATAGTCACGTGACTATGTCTTCTCCGTATCTTTGTTACTATGGGGATAATAAAAAGTAGAATCATAAAAAGCATTCCAAAAACGAGTTAATGGCTATTGGCAAGCGGTGCAGTCTTCCATGGAAAACTCGAACATTTAATAATCATAAAACTGAATGGAACGCAGGATTCGGATGTGAATAGATAGCAGTAGATATTTTTAGGTAAATGTATTCAAATTATAAGTATTATATGAGAGAAAAAAAGCATAGAAAATAGCTATTTGCTCGATATCCGTTCTTTTTCAAAATAATACCGTTCAAACTGAATATAAAGGCATGTTATACCTGAATGATTTTTATCTTTGATACGACCCCTCCATTTCACCTGTAAACTGCAGGTGTCATTAGTTGGTGTCGAGAGTTGTTGAAAAGGTCTAATATGTTATGGTGTTGTCTGCGTCTGCGTCTGAAGACATTTTGGTTCGCAGACAATAACTTGAGTATAAGTTCATCGATCTCTATGAAATTTTAGCACAAGGTTCCATACCAGTAAAGGATAGTTGGGATTATTTTTGATGGCTATTTTCCTTGCGGTTTTGTAATTAGAAGCCAAAAAAGGTCAGTTTTACTGGTTCATGGAAAATAAATTGGTTCGCAGACAATAACATAAGTGTAAGTGTATGGATGTGTACGAAATTTTAGTACAAGGTTCCATACCACAATAGGAGGGTTTGGATTGATTTTGGGGGTTATTGTCTCAGCTGTTTTGTAATTAGGGGCCAGAAAGGGGCCAAA